CTTTTACTAGCAATCGCATTAAAAAAGCTTTCGCGCAAAAGGCTTTTAAAAAGTCTTTTATTATCTCGAGCCTAATTATAGCTATAAAAACCGCGACGAAGACGATACTTTATAATAATACAAATAAAAAAGAGCAAAGCAATAATAAAAAAAACTCAAGTGAAAATGATATTCTTTTTTTTTAATATAAAAGAGCTAAAAAATTACTTTCGACGGCTAAAGCTGCTCGCTCCGTTATATTAGCTAGCAAATCACTTTCGATAATTAAAACTTCTTTTCGTTAAAAATCTAAAAAAGGCAAGTATCTTAAGAAATCTATAATTGTTGCGAAAAAAAAAGGTTTAAGCTAACGAAAGCGCCGTCGCTATAAGCTAAGAAATAAGTTCAATCAATTAATAAATTGATTCTTAAGTACAATTACTGATTTATATAGCTATTACGTTAAAAGAGATCCGACGATATTAAAAAAGCACCGAGCTTTTTATTAAAAAGACTCTTTTTTAGCGTCTTGTTCGAAAGATTACTTACGATTTTAAATAAGACTTTAAATTTTAAAGCGATGCTTTAAAATGTTTACAAGAAGCTTTAAAAGCATTCTTCGTAAGAGAGTTTGAAAGTAAGTACTTATATATTTATTTATTAATCGATTTACTAATCGATTTACTAATCGATTTACTAATCACTTTTAATGACGAACTTATATGTTATTTACGCTAAACGAGTAACGATTTAAAACAAAAATATAGCGTTAGTTAAGAAATTGCGAGAAATCATAACTAGAAGTTTTATTTAGTAATTTTAGTTTATTATAATATAATACAATATAATTGTAAAGTATAATATATATAATTAATAAATATAATAAATAAATATAATGATTAAGTAAAATTAATAAATATTCGTAAATTTGTTTTATTTTTAGCGGCCTTATATATATTATTTTTAACTGTCTTACTTTAAACCTATAAGGTTTCCTTATCCTTCGTAAGGAATTTAACTTAAAAAAATCCTATCCTTCGTAAGGAATTTGACTTAAAAAAATCCTTTTTATAAGGTTTAAAAAAAAAAGTCCCTCATCGGCCAAGACCTTATAGGAGGAATGGGGAGGAAAACCCTATGGGGCCCCCACCCTATAGAGCAGCTTAAATTATATAAATATACCAACTTATTTTTAAGATCTTTTTTATCTTATTTATACCTTCCGTTTATTAAACAAGAAACAAAGTAATCTTTTGCGTATCGCAAAGCAAAGAGCTCGAATAACGACTTAATACGTAATATCCGCTAAACCTTTATATTTAATACGTTATTTTTTATTAAGTCTTTATCTTTCGTATTTATTCTTTTAACATATGAACTAACGACGAATACGTATAGAATCCTTTAGAATTAAGCTACGCAAAATTAATTAATACGATACGTATTATTTTCATCGTAATTATCGTTTGTATCTTTTATATAAAAGCAAAAATCGCTAATATTAAAGGTTCGCCGACGGCTATTCGAAAACGTGTAAGACAATCGCTTATATTATATAATCTTATCTTTGCGATTGAATACGATAATATTGCGTATACTATATTTTATTTAATTAATCAGTTAGAAAAGCTATTACTAAAAGAAGAAGGGGTGTTGGACCAAGAGGGGGGGACAAAAGGAAGGACAAAGGGGGGGACAAAAGGGGGGGGGAGGAGAAGGAAAAGAAGGTATAGCTACTTTTATAAAACGCAATCTTTAAGTGTTTAAGAAACTCTTTAAAAGCAGTATTCATTATATTCATATCTCTGCTTATATATAATTGCTTCTTTACAGTTATTCTTAAAGCGCCGTATCTTTTTATATCGATATTGATTTTAATATGCTATTGTGTGTTTAAAATCGATTCTTTTAGCTTATTAATATTATCATCTATTCGTTCGTAAGAAAAGATAAAACCTTGGACGAGTCGTAAGCAATGATCTTAAATAATATGCAATAATCTATTTAATTTTAAATACGTTTCTTTTTAAGCTATAGCGAAACCGAGTTTAAAAGATTATTAAACAAAGTTTTTAAAAACAAATACGCTATCAAATTAAAAAGCGCTGCGATATTAGCTTAACTTTTCTAATTATTATATATATTATTAGCTATAATAAAACAAAAAAGAGATTTCTTACTTATATTTAAGTTCTTTAAACAATACGTTGCCGTTTATAATATAAGCGTATTTATTTGCAATATCGGCTAAGTGAAAACCGATATAATAGTTAAGCAAATTAAAGATCTTTTATTATTTGGTCAACTTTTTGCGAAAGGCAAGGCGGATATCTTTATCTTTATCTTTATCTTTATCTTTATCTTTATTCTTATCTTTATCTTCGTCTTTATCTTCGTCCTCGTTTCCGTCCGCTTTTATTTTTTTTATATTAATTAAGCTAAGTATACTTTCTTCGTTCTCGTTATTGTTAAATGCTTAGCTTACTTGCTTTACGCTGCGAACTAAGATATTATAAGTTTTGCGCGACTCTCGCAATAATAAACGCATGACATCTAGCGATATATAAAAAGCTTTAATGCTAATCTTGCAAATTACTACGGCTATATATCTAAAAAGGCGTATTAGATTAAACATCGAAAGGTATTCTTCGAAGATGCGAAAGAAAGAATTGAAGTATAAAAGCTTATATTAAGACTTTTTACCGCAATAGCGAAAGATAAAAAGAATAAAGATTAAAGCTCGGCTTGTTTTTAATAAAGACTACGAAAACAAATAAAAAAGAGATTAAATCCGAGCTTAATTAAAAGGAAATAGAAAGTCTTGCATAGCTTAAATAAAACCTTTAAAACCGTATTTCGTAAAGATGTTATAAAATAGCAGCTTAAAAAGTATTTTGTTTATCTTTTTTTATTTCGAGTAAAGTGCGTTATAAGCTTTGCTAAGTATAAGATCAAGTATTAAAACAAGAAGTAAAATATCGAGATCATCTTTTCGTATATTATAGCCGAGAAAAAAATCCGATCTTCTTTTATCGTTATTGATATCTTAGCTAATTTTACGAATAAAAACCGTATCTTAATAATAGCGCGATATAATATCGAAATTAAATTCGTAATCTTTTCGCTTTTGCGATTAAGTATAGCAAGCTTTGCACTTAAAAACAGCGTTATATCGTATAAACTTAAAGTTGTCAGCTTGCTATAGCATGTCTTTTAAAAAGATAATAAGAAAAGCTTTTATTAATATATCTTTGTCTTTAACGCGCACGGTGACCTTTTTTGCTAGTCGATTTAGCTTTAATCGAAGATTAGCTATTATATTAAATATAAAAGCATTATAAAGACCGAGACTTAATATAAGATTGTTTTTAAAGCGCTTCCGTTTATCATATGAAAGCTTAGCGAGAATAAAATAAAAGCTTTTAATAGACTTGTAATTAGTCTTATAAATATCGAAGTCGTTTATAAATAATATAAATAAAATTAAAATAAAAGAAAAATGAGCATTAAGGGCAGTTAAAGCATTAAGGGTAGCGAAGTTCTTTAATATTTCTCGTCCGTATATATATATTTCTAGTTTAGCTCGAATTGGATGTGTTTCTTTTATCGGTATTAATATACTTCGATTTAAATTTAATATATACTTGATATAATAATTAAACTCGAATAAGTTTAATATATCTATTTCTTTTATGCTATTGTATTCTTATTTAATATTAATTTTCGTTCGATAAGCAATTGCATTCGGTAGTACTTCGAATGACTCGTAAAAGACAATAAGCTTTCGATAATTTAAAGTAATATTTATATCGAAAAGCAGCTTTCGTTAAAGTGCAACGCTTTGCAATATAATTATTATATCTTTAACGTTTATTATAAGATTAATAGTCCGGTGCTTTCTATTAATAAAAGTGACACGTCTCTTAGAAAAGCTATTAATAGGCCTTATTAATTTAATAATATTATTAAGCAATATAATATTCTCGTTTATGTTTTTTGCAAAGTCGCTAGATATAGTTATTATAAAAGAACTTTAAGCTTTGAAATAATAAAACTCGTAAAAGTGGTTAACGTATTATGTTATTCTTAGATATATGTTGTTTATAATAATATTAGCTCGGACGAGGTGAGTAATCAAGTCTATTAAATCGTATTAATAATGCTATATCTTACGCACGATTTGTATATGCTTAGTCTTGCTTTTTTGTCTTTTTGCGAGCATAGCTTGCTTTTTTAATATGATAGTAATCGGCTTTTTTAAAAGACGCAATAATAATAAGTAAGCACGCACCTAGCGCTTTAAGGTATCGATTCGCAACGGTAATTAAAATGTTGATTATCTATTTTTATTTATAAGTCTTTTAAATATAACATTCGAAGCTATTATAAACAATTATCGAAGCTAAATATACTCCGTGCGTAATATCGAGTTCTTTTCGCATTATAGCTCGAATGCTAGATAAAATAAAGATATAAGATCTTTTAAAGCAAGAATAGCGATAGACTTTATATTAAAAAGGTTTTCGGATATTAAAAGTAAAGATGATAATAGTGATTATAAATTTGAATAATCGATTTTAAAGTCTTAAGGTCGAAATATATCGAGGTCGGACGTATTTAATACTTTTTCTTTTTCGTTCGATGCAATCATAGCGTTTTATATATATATATATTAATATATAATATAAAATATATAATACGGAATTAAATATATTATCGTAAAACTCTTAAAGCTCGTCATCCGTCTTAACTTTTATATCGCTTTTATATTCATTGCTATTAGCTTTATTTAATATATTAACGTTACTCTTTTCTTCGAAATATAACTTTGATTCGTCCGAAGTTAAAGCAAAAGATGCTGCAAATTCGTGTTTAGATAAAGCAGAATCGAAGGATGCTAAGTTAAACGCGTCGTATTGCGTAAGCAACGGTAAAGACTTAGCAAGTAACGTAATAAATATAAAAGAGATTAAGGACGGAGATAAAAACGAGGATTTTAAAGATTCTAATTTAAATCTAATATGCTTTTGCTATACGATCAATCGAAACGTATTAAAGCATCGAAGCATATCGTAATTATTAAGAGAAGTGATGCTAGTAATAGCGTTGCTAATGATAGCGTTGCTAGTGATAGCGTTGCTAATAATAGCGTTGCTAGTGATAGCGTTGTTAGTAATGGCGTTGCTAGTAATGGCGTTGCTAGTGATAGCGTTGCTAGTAATAGCGTTGCTAGTAATAGAATTACTAGAAAGGTGTTGCTTAAAGGATATTGCTAGTAAAAAACGTAAGTAATAACTAAAAAATAATAGTTAGCGCGCGTAAACCATATTATTTATAATAGTAACGGTTTTAACAATTGATAAAGCTGTAGCTCGCAATTAAAAAAAGAATATAAAAGGTGACGTGCACTTGTGCCGATTTTCTTTATTTATTATGTCGTTATAGCATATAATAATCGTAGTACATATTATTTAATTACAGCGTTTTATATATATAATACAATTAGTATTAGTTATACTATTATTGTTATTGTTGTTGTATTTATTTACGTCGGGCGAGTAGCAAGCGAAGCCTGTCGCTTTAGGACCTTTTATAAGGTACGGCGACGTATTAAGCTAAAGAGTTATATATAAAAAGGCTTTAGAAAGCAATTCAAAGTGTTATAGCGAAAGCTATTATCGCATGCGCTTTTTTTTTATAAATAAGATAAATTATATAAAAAGAAACTTTTTATTAAAAGAAAACTATAAAAGAAAGAGTTAAGCAAGTATAAACTAGTAAAGCTAGCTAAAAGCGACTTGTTTACGTCGCGTAGCGATAAGAATTAAAGCCGGACCGGGGTCAGCCGAGTTATACTATTATATAGCGATGAAAAGGCTATTTTTAAATTGCTATAACGCCGAAATAGCAAAGGTATTTTAAATAAGTTTTAATAAAAAAAAAATATTATAGACTAAAAAGTAAAAAAAATCAAAATACTTGTTAATTATTATATACTTTATCGCTTCGAACTTAAAAATCATTTATTACTTTTTTATTATCGTCGTTTTAGCTTTTAGCATCTTTATTATCGTCGCTTTAGCTTTTAGCATATTCATCATCTTCGTTTAATCTATTATACTCTTTTAAGTTATTATTTTTAACTTTTTGTTTATCTTCGGTTTTTTTTTATAGCTTTTTTTAGCTTAACTTCTTTTCGTGCCGTTTGCTTAAAAAACTTTTCGTCGACTTTTATGTTTTTATCGTTATTAAGATCGATAGCCTTTTTAGCATTTCGTTTTATTAAAATAAATGAATCGGTAAATAGAAAATCCTTTATGCTTAATCTCGCAAATACGCTATATTAATAATAACTATTAAACGCACTTAAAAAGTGTTGACGAGTATATTTAAATAGCGTTTAGTTTATAGTATAGATTAACAAAGTTGTTAGTCGTTTATAAACGATTGAATGCACGGTAGCATTTATTAAATTAGCTTTTTATTATTATAATAATCGAATAAAATAAGTACTTATATCGCAAGAAATTCAGCTTTAAATCAATTGCTTTCTCGAAGTCGATAGCTATAATAAATATAGAAAAAATGCTTGTGATTTAATGCAATTAGAATTTCGAATTGATAATCGATTTAAGCTTTTTGTAATCTATAAACCGCGTCAATACTTTATTATCTTTATTATTTGCGAAAAATTGTTCGGTGAAACTCTTGATCTTTCGTAGCAAATGGCTTTTTTAATTTTTAAAGTCATTAATAGATTTAGCCGTATAGTTTTTAAATATCGCGTTGGTATTCGATAATCTAAAAAAAAACTTTCGATATTAAAATATGCGCGTTTTTTCGATTAAAGCTTGCAATAAAAATCCTTCGATTTTAAAGTTTTAACTTAACTATAGCTTTATTCTTAGTCTTCGTATATTCGACGTATACTTTAGTTGTTATAATAGATTCGATATTTCTCGAATCGATAGCTTTTAAAAATTGTATTGCTATTTTGCGTTTTTTCTTTTTTTTTTTATCGTTAAAAACTTCGCTTCTTTCCGTTAAGCCTTGCAAATCGCTTTTTATAAGCGGAAGTATATTAGCGGCGCGAAGGAGTAAGTTAACAATAGTAAGTTTAGCGGTACTATGAAAAGCAATAAGTTTAGTAGTATTTTAAAAGGCAGCAGGTTTGGCGGTACTATAAGAAGCAGCAAGTTTAATAGTATTTTAAAAGGCAGGTTTGGTAGTATTTTAAGAGGCAAGTTTGATAGTATTCTAAAAGGCAGGTTTGGCGGCATTTTGAAAAGCAGGTTTAGCTGTATTCTAAGAGGTAAGTTTAGCGGCATTTTAAAAGGCAATAGGTTTAAAAGCAGCAAGATTAATAAAAAGGCGAAAGATAATTGTAGCGGCCGTTGTATATTTAATAAGGTTAGCAGATTTCGTAAAAGTAATAGAAAGAACTTTTTAAGGTTTATATAATAAGTTATATAATAAAGCTTTAAGCGCGCGAGTGCTTATAGCTTTTATAAAAGGTACGGTTTAAGAAAGCTATTTTCAGTATATATTCAAGTCTGCTAAGCATATCATATACTTTAAGCTTCTTTTTAAAGCGAAAAGGGCTGTTTCGAATTAGATTTTTTATATCTTTTTTTAAATCTAGCGTATCGTTAAAGAATGTAGTTCGTTTGCGAAGTTTAAATCGACCGAGTTCGTTTGTATTTCGAATGTTTAATTGCGAGTTTAAGTATTCGAAATCCTTTTTATTTTGATTTGAATTCTGCTTATTCGTCGAGTGCTTTTTATGAATAAGCGGAAGTACGATTTTTTTAGAAATATGTTTACGTTTGTGTTTTTGAATTAGTTGTAAAGTCATCGTAGACTCGTTAAAAAATGAATTAAATAAGTTAGACATTTTGATTTAATTGATGAATGTATATTGTTAAGATAATTAGAAAACTTACTTCTACTCGAGCGAGTAAACAAATGCAACTTAATAAGTTAAGGCCTTGTGCAAGGATCTATTTAATTAGCGTGGTCAATTAACGAAGAAGCTGAAAAAGTAGCATTTTCGAACTTTACTATTATAGTAGTATTAGTAATCTTAATCTTAACAATGATCTTGGCAAAGATCGGAAATATTAAATATTAATATAAATAATTTAAATTGTATGTATAGCTACTAGTAATAGTAACAAGTTAACAAGTTGAAGGTTAAATAATTGGAAAGTTAAAAAGTTAGAAAGTTGAAAGGTTAAAAGGTTAACAAGTTGACGGGTTGACAAGTTGATAAGTTAATAAGTTAATAAGTCGATAAGTCGATAAATTAGAAAGTTGATAAGCTGACAGGTTGATACTTGAAAGTTCTTATTAATAACGCAACTTCTAGTAATTACTTATAAAAGGAAGGTACGCTTATAGCGTTCTAGTTCTATTCTTTTTAGCTTGCTTATTAAGCTGCAGCTTCGGCCTAATTAATATTATTTACTTTAAAACAGTAATAGCAAATTATTTTATTTATAATTTATAATAATAATAATAATTAAATTATATCGCTTAGAAATTTAAAATAATATTTATTACTTAGTACTGATATTATACTTTGTTATACAATCTTATAACTTTGCGTCTTCGCGTTATTATAGCATTGCAATCTTGCGATTTACAATTATACAACCTCGCTATACCTTTCTTTTAACCTTATTATAATTTCAATTCAATTATAATTATACTTTATAACTTCACTTTTCAACTTTACTACAATTATAAAAATACGAAACCAATACGAACTTAATACTAACTTAACATTAACACTTTATACTTAACTTTTAATTTCTATTATCTAATATTAATACTAACAATCTATACTTAACTTTTAACTTACAACCTTTAATTTCTAACTTTTAATATTATATCTAATCTTTAACATTGCATCCAACTTCTAACACTATATTTAACTTTTAATATTGCATTTAACTTTTAATATTGCATTTAACTTCCGACATTTAACTTTTAATTTCAAACGTTTAATTTCCAACTTTTAAATCTTATTATACTTAAATACGATATTTTAACGATTTAATAAGTATACTATACATTTTGTAGTATTGCAAATGACTTATTTAATATACTTTTATTAATATTTATTTTAGTTGCTAATAAAAAAAATAACGACTTTTACTAGTAATACTCGCAGCTTTACGAGCGAAAACAAGATTATATTATTAATCGAAAGACTTATATTATTATAATTACACGGAGAAAACGGTTATAATATTATAAAACTGCACGGCGTAAATATCTCGAAAAACGCAAATAATAATATTAAAGTATTAGCTTAGTTGCTCGAGCTTATAAATAGCAAATTTATTAATTAATAAATAGATTCTTTCGAATTTAAAAAACTATACGAAAAGCTTTATATTAAAATCATTTTCTTACGTGATTTGGTCGGTAGACTTTAAAGACTTTAATTATTTAGAATTCAATAATTGATTGCTATTAGTAAAGATATTAAAGATATAAAGTATTTTAAAAAGGATTTAAATATAAGTGATTAGTTAGATAAAGATTATTACGCAAAGTGTTTTCTAAGTCTTAGAATTATTAATTCAACGTTTAAGAATAGCGTATTCCGAGCTCGCATAATAACCGATAAAAAAAAAGATGTCCGTTTATAAGCAGCTATAAAGCGCGCTATTGCAAAACGTCATTAAGCCAAAGTATCTTTTAAAATAATCGCATAAAAAACAGCACTTATTAATATATTAAATCTTATAAGTATTACTTTTATATACTAATTAAAAAATAAGCGATTTAATACGGATATACATTTAGACTAGTCTTTTTTGAAAAAGCTATTTACAAGTGCTTTTTTATATTTAGCTATCGCATTACATATCGATATTACTTATTAGCTTTATAATCTATTAAGTGATTATCTTAAAGTATTCGTTTAGCGTATATTATTGCTTTTAAGCAGACTTAAAGTACTCGCTTAACGCATATCATTGCTTTTAAATAGACTTGAAGTACTCGTTTAGCGCATATTATTGCTTTTAAGCAGACTTAAAGTACCCGCTTAGCGTATATTATTGCTTTTAAGCAGACTTAAAGTACTCGCTTAGCGTATACTATTGCTTTTAAGCAAACTTGAAGTACTCGCTTAGCGTATATTATTGCTTTTAAGCAGACTTGAAGTACTTGCTTAGCGTATATCATTGCTTTTAAGCAGATTTAAAATACTCGCTTAGCGTATATCATTGCTTTTAAGCAGATTTAAAGTACCTGCTTAGCG